CCCCTGTGTCCCTGCTCCTGCACCAGCACCGTGACTGACCCCTGTGTCCCTGCTCCTGCACCAGCACTGTGATGGGCCCTGTGTCCCTGCTCCTGTACCAGCACCGTGATGGCCCCTGTGTCCCCGCTCCTGCACCAGCACCATGACGGGCCCCATGACCAGCAGCTTTCTTGGTCCATCCCAGGACACTACCCCAATAAAGGAGATGACAAAAGCCAGCAACCCATTGTCCACAGTGATCCAGTTAGGTCATCAGGAGGGCGAAGGCAGGTGATGATCTGCAGACGGTGTGAGAGCCAGGGTTATGGTCGGCTGCTGTCTTCACAGAAGGAACCAAAGCCTGGGGGGGAAACAGGAGGCCAAACAGAGCCTCCCTGGGAAGGGGCCCAGGCACCTGAGTGTGGGCACAGACATGGCTGGCAGGATAGGGCCTGATGCCCCCAAGGTTGGAACACTTTGCCCAAAGGTGGCCAGGAGCAGGTGGCTGTCAATCTTGGGGTAGAGAGCAGAACTGGGCGTGGTCAAGACCCCTGCCGCCATCCTGGAAGGTCTACATTTTCCCAGCTTATTGAGGTGTTGACGGTCTGAGACACTATCGAGCGAAAGGACGTTTCTCAGATCAGTTTTAAGAAGAAAAATGTTGCATGTGACGTAGACATAGCTTCCTTCAGCCGGAATAACCTGAACCAGCAGAACTCCTGCCTTGGCCAGGCCGCAGAGACTGTCCCCGTCTCCTGGGTGCTCCGGAGCCCTGACCCCTGTACTCATGGCCCAGTGCACAGACTCAGGCTTCCCATGGCTCTGAGGCTGGACATCCACAACCAAGGTGGGCAGGCTTGAGGGCTGCTAAGGGCCCACAGGCCTCAGACCTCACCGCCTCCCACCACCACCACATTGGGCCAGGACTCGACACCAAAGGCCATCCCAGCACCCTGAATGTTGACCTCCATGACCTCCATGTGACCTGGACTGACTTTGGAGAAGTTGCTGGCAGCCCAGACACCCCTAGGCCAGTTACAGGCTTCTGCTAGTTATCTGCTGCTGAGTATAAGCTACCAGAGACCCCATGGACCCTCTCTGTGTTGGCTCATTGCACCCTGGGGCCGGAGGACCTGCTTCCCCACTGAAGTCGGCCTGTGCTGCTGACATGAGGCACATGTGGCTGCTCCTCCCATGGTACTAGGCCACCCAGCCTGGAGGTGCCACCCCACCATCCCCCTGGGCTGCAGCATCCCTTGCCCACCAGACTGAGGGGTGCAGATACTGCTGCTGTGGCCACAGGACCAGCACAAACCCTCAGGGCTGCCAGCTGGAGCTGACCTAGACTGCAGAGGCCAGTCACATCATCTGCCTGGCCTGGGGCTGGGAGGCCAGAGTCTGAACTCTGTCCAGTGCCCAGTGACACAGGCACCACTGGCTCAAGCACCAGGAAATCAGTCACAAGTGACTCAGCCAGCCAGTGTCAGCCTCTGACCTGACATCTTCACCCCAAGCTCCATGCCAGTAGCACGGCTGCAGTTCCTGGCCCTGGGCTGTGCCAGAGTCACATGGGGTGTATGGAAGAAGCTGATGCCCAAGGTGACCCCAACCAATCCAACCAGGATCCTCGGGGACCAGGCGCCAGGGACCCTCCAAACTTCTAGCACATCGCAGCATTCCCTGCAGAGCCATGGACACGCGTCCATGGGCAGACATTGGGCACTGCTGGGGAGAGGCCCAGAAGCAACAGCTGTCTGCAGTGTCTGCAGATGGAGGTTCAAGTGAGAATGGGGTCTGGACACCATGCAGCAGTCACCCTAATTTGGAGGGCCCTGTCTCCAGGGCCACAACAAGGCGGCACAGGCTACAGGCAGGACACTACTACACAGAAGTACCCAGTGGTCGCTCCCCTATCTCACACTAGGGTCCACACTGGTGGGGACAGCCGGGGCAGAGCCCGTTCCACCAGACCACTGTGAGCAAAGGGGTCTGCACCTCTGGGCTACAGAACGGCATTTCCAAGATCTCCCCCCACTCGTCTGTGGTATTTCAATGACTGACAAACAGACAAAAATATATTTACTTAGGGATTACCTATATTGAAAACTAGACATGGAATTTTTTCTCTGTCAACATTGCAGTAATATCAGCTGTTTGAACAAAGAGGAGGCATTTTCCACGCAGCCCTCGATGCTGAAAACTCTCCCCTCTATATCCAGAAAGACGCTAGGTTGTATTGATGCTGCTGAGTGTGAACCGATAGCCAGGCAAGAACTCTGATTTTCTCTTTATTGTTGAAGTTATTAGGGGTAAAGCAGATATAGAAGTTATTTGTCTTCAGACCATCTGTAGAAACCAAACCACTCAAATATGCTCCCAGAGTTCTGTGCAGCGCCGGGGTTTGGATGGCCTCAAGTCTCAGACGCCTGTCTCTTCTGGGAATGCCAATTTTACTTTTTAGGTCTTGGCTTATTGAAAGAAAGCGCTTTGTTATTCCCCTGCTTTGAATGGATAAGAAATTTAAAGCTCCACTGACAGTTTGAAAATGGACAGCCCCCCACACTTTCTGCATCGCAGAGTCTTGCAACTCTTGTCCCCACCTTTTGTTGTGTCCCTTGGTCTCAGATTCAGGGGAACAAGCCAGATCTCTCGATCACACTCAAAACATCAGTTGTTCCTTGAACGAGGAGCTCAGAGACCAGAAAGTCCCCTCCCTGGGTTTTGTAAGTGTTCTGTGACTCTGTGGACATGAGGAGCCAGACAGGAGAGCCGTGGTGGGCGTGTGGGGTCATCGTGGGGAAAACGCAGGCCTAGGCAGAAATATCACAGCCGGAGGAAGGGTCCTGACCCCGGAGAAGGTCCCCATGGCCTGCAGACAGCCCTCTGCTCCAAGGTTTCGCGTCAGCCTGCTGGGGACTCCTGTGGGCCCAGGCCTGGCGTTGCCCTGCTCTCTCACTTAGAGAAATGACCACAATATTTTTTTAGATGGAGTTATGCAGATCTGATAGACTGAAGTAAATGTTTCATAAAACCAATGACTGTTTAAATTGTAGGACTGAATTGTTTGTCTATAAATATTACCTTTTATATTCCATTTGAGTTTTATGTAGATGAGCACATTACTTTAATGACCTGTGTTTACGGAGGGAGAGAGGGAGAGCGGCTCACAGAAGCCCTCACCGCCAGATGGTTGCCTTTTCTTGCATGAGATTAAAAGATGTTTCTCATTCACCGAGATGCTTCTGAGGCAAATTAATATCGCCAGCTAAATTGCTTGTGTTTTTGGAATAAAATTTAAAGAGAACTTTTTAAAGCAATTGGTGTCACAGGTTCTCCGAGCGGATTGCTCTGCAGGTAGAGACACTCGGTAATTAATGGGAAGAATTCTGTGTTAATTGACTGCTTCGGGAAGAGAGTATAATGACTCCTTATTAATCATGAAAAGAGATGTTCAGCATGCAAGGACCACAGTAATTGCTCCAACAGTGGAAATGTTAATTAATGAAAAGAACAATGATGTAAGAAATTAGCTGCATAATGCCTGCTACCACCGATGAAGGTTGGATTTTAAACAAATTATTTAGAGTGGAAACCACAAAATGGCGCATTAAATAACAGACACGTGGAACCTCTCACCACACAAATTTAAAGGGAAAAACCCAGTGCTCCCAGCATCTTCACTTGAAAAAGCAAAACCTTCACCCAGAGCTGTGTTTATCCTAAAGGAAATGGCCTTGTCATTCGTCCCCTCTCTGGGCTTCCAAAATCAAAATTATCCCCTGACCAAAACAAGGTCATTTATTAATGTCATTTAATTTCAACACAACAGCTCATTCTGACTGCTAAGGACAAAGGGACTGGAAGAGAGTATTTTTCCCTAAACCGAAACAAACAAATTCAATTTCTGATATTTCCCGGTTATTATAAAGAAAAATTCAGATTCACTCTGGGAACAGAGTGTCTTTTTTAAAAAATCTAATTTTAAGTCCCTGAAAGAACATACCACTTCCACTCTGTCTAAGGACCCTGCCCAGTATCGAAGGGCAAAGAGGACATTGTATCCCCGAGGAGCCCAGCCTGGTGCCCTCCCCTCCTCTAGGCAGGAGTCAGGACCACTGACCACTAACCCCCCTTCCAGGTGCCCTCCTCTCCCCCAGGCGAGAGTCAGAACCACTGACCACTTCCCCCCTTCCAGGTGGCCTCCTCTCCCCCAGGCGAGAGTCAGAACCACTGACCACTGACCCCCGCTTCCAGGTGGCCTCCTCTCCCCCAGGCAAGAGTCAGGACCACTGACCACTGACCCCCCCCCTTCCAGGTGGCCTCCTCTCCCCCAGGCAAGAGTCAGAACCACTGACCACTGACTGCCTTCCCTTCCAGGTGGAATGTACTGGGGCTGCAGGGTGCACTCCTCTCGCACTTCGTGGAACCTGTGTACCTGCACAGTGTGGTTGTGGGCAGCCTGCACCACACAGGACACCTCTCCCGGGTCATGAGCCACCGGACAGAGGACCTCGGTCAGCTGCCAGCCTCCTACCGACACAACCGGCCTCTGCTCAGTGGTAAGACCACCCCTTCCCAGCATCCAGCCCGGCACAGCAGGCACAACAGGGCCGAGTTGGGCAGACCGCGTCCATATTGGCCACTGGTTGTTCAAGATTCAAAGAGCAAAATTCAACAACCCAAAGATTTTAAAGAGGAAAATGACATAAAGTGGTTATAGTGCCCCTCTAAACATAGGAATAGGCAACATTTCAATGTGAATTCCTCACAAGACTCAGCACACCAGCATAACACCAAAGCCTTCTCACCACGATGTCCAAAGTAGCCTCTAAATACGGACCCCGTTCACCTGATGGGGTTACCTACAGTGGGCTGTACTGACAAAGAGGCAGGAGGGTGAGGACGGGTGGCCAAGACCCAGGTGGGGACAGGTCTGCAGCTCAGAGCTGAGGGCTGATCTCATAAGCATGAAGTTGGGGTCAGCCCTGGTCCCCATGTGGCCCAAGTGTCTGTAGCTCCCCCAGCCTCCCCCAGCTTCCCCAGCTTTCCCTGTCCTCTCCCCAGCCTCCAATGGCCTCCCCAAGCTTTCCTCAGCCTCCCCCATTTTCCCCTCAGCCTCTCCAAGCCTCCCTCACCCTCTGTAACCCTCCCCAAGACCCTCCAACTTCCCCAGCCTCTCTCAGCTTCCCTCAGGCTCCCCAGCCACCTTTCCAGCCCGTCCCAGCCTTCTCCCACCCTCCCTGGCCTCCCTGAGTCTCCCCAGCTTCCTCCAGCCTCCCCCAAAGCCTCTGTAGCCCCACAAGGCCTGGGGGCTGCTCTACCCAGCACAGGGATCAAGGGGCACAGGGCTGTGAAACAGTTTGTTGGACACAGTGAAGGCCCATGAGCCTGGACGGGGCGGTGGCCAATCTTGAGGGGGCTTTGGGAAGTAGCTCACCCATGAGGGCTCCTGGCCCTTCCTGCTGAGGCACCTGCAAGTCACAGGACTGGCTGGAAGCCCAGGATGGGGTATGCCCTTCAGTGAGCCTGGCCAGGCTCGGGCCTCTTGTTGGGGGTGCCCTCTGAGGGCTGTGGCAGCCCCAGGCAGGTGTGTGGAGGAAGCAGTGAAGCCTCCTCTGCCCTAGAAAGGTGACGCCTGTGGCTCCACTGGTTAGGTCCTGATGGAATCACCAGAAGACAGAGCAACAGGGCAAGAGAGCCTGTTTAGGACTGCACTGCGAGGGGTTGACCCAAGACCTAGTCCCAGGATTCTGACGTTCCAAATTATAAGGTCAGAGTAAAATAGGGCCCCACTGAGGTTGTGGTAGGAACTAAAAGAAATAACTCATGCAAAGCACTTACTTAACTGTGCTAAGCAAATACTCAAGAAGAGATGCCGCCTCTGACGGAAGTGGTGGCATACTGGAAGTGGATACTTGCCAGCTCTTCAGCCCTCATCAGTTGAAACCTGGAACTTCTGTGTGGTGCTGGGATAGGAAGGGTGGAGTGCATACCAACACGGGACTGAGTCGTTGTGGTTCCTGGTCACTTCATGTGATAATATTCCAGGGAGTTTCTGTACATGAGACTTTGTCCTTGAGACTATGAGATCCCAGGCTGAGAACCCCGTCTCCCCCATCCCCAAATAATCAGAGGCTTGCGTGTGTCCAGTGAAGAACTTGGTGACCTTTAGCCAAATTTTTGATAAAGGGGCTGTGTTTAGTCCAGGTTATTAAACATCTGCTCATTTGTTCTGACGCCCTTCCCTGTGCAGGGAGGTCTCAGGGCTCTCCAGGGTTGGGCGAGTTAAAGCCGGTATCACTGAGCTGTGTGATGTGTCTGCAGAGCCCAAGGTGATCCCCGTCCCCGGAGCACCTGCCCCTCCACATCGGTGCAGTCTGGCTGAATGTCTCAGGCTGTACTCAGGAGCATGTTGGGGGGATGATCTTTATTACTGTAGGGGTGCAAATGACCCTAAGCCTTGGGACCTCACTGGCATGCAGACCCTGACCACGCAGCATTGCTCCTGATAGACATTTAAAAACCAATCGTGCAAATATTGAAAGGAAATCACCAAAATTTCTTGCAACAAAAAAGAGAGAGAGCCTTCACAAGGATAATAATAAAAAGCACACTCAGGCAGTGCCTGTGGCTCAGTGAGTAGGGCACTGGCTCCATATACCAAGGGTGGTGGGTTCGAACCTGACCCCAGCCAAACTGCAACAAAAAATAGCTGAGCATTGTGGTGGGCACCTGTAGTCCCAGCTACTCGGGAGGCGGAGGCAAGAGAATCACCTAAGCCCAAGAGCTGGAAGTTGCTGTGAGCTGTGACAACACAGCACTCTACTGAGGGTGACAAAGTGAGACTCTGTCTCTTAAAAAAAAAAAAAAGCACACTCAAACAAAAATTTGCTTGAAGCTTCCCTCAAAGTCAGACTGCAGAACTGCCTTAGAAGATGAAGCTCATGTATTAGCAGGCTGAAACCCTGCAGTGTAGATACAGCTCGGTCAGCTCCGAGTTAAAAGGAAGCAGCCACACCGAAAGAGAGACCCTTATTGACCATCGTAGGGTGCACATTACTATTCTCAAAAGATATACTTGGTGAATTCTGCCCAGACCAGTCTAACCCCACCGCAAAGCTGTTCAGGACCAGAAGCCACAGGAGGCTGCCTCAGATCCAAGTCCTTCAACAAAGAGTGCCCTTGGTCTTCCTCAGTGAATTCAATATGGTAAGAATAATAATTAATGAAAATCTGTGCCTTGAATGCTCACCTTTTTAGAAAATAAAATGACATGAAATAGAACCCAACTTTGACAGTTCGTCCTGCCAAACCAAGGGCATGAGCTTCCCGAGCTCCAACCCTCAGGGCTAGATTCTTATTTTCCTGAATTAAGAAAAAAAAAAAGTCACCAGGAAAGGGAAGAAATCTGGATGGGAAAGGCCAGTTCTCTGTGCTTGTTCTTGTTGATGGCATCTTTAACAGCTATGCTTCCACTGTTGTGCTGCCTCGGTCCACACTGGAGATAGAGCTACAGCCATGGTTGCAGCCCATGGCAAGGTCTTGGCAATGAACATGAAATTTGAGAGATGGACCCAGAGAATTGATTGTTGAGTTGTTTAGGTTTATATTTGTGCAACGAACACTGCAGCATGGGTGATAAAATGGAGAACAGCAACTGTCTTTCTTCAGAGCACGCACCTCCCCAACCTGGAAATGAGCGGCTGGTGTGGGAAGTCTTCCAGGAGTCCCTGTCTCAAAGAACCTGTCAGAAAGAACTTCGATGCCTACTGAAGTGTTCACCAATACTAGCCTGGAAATTTCGTCCAATTCCACCTGGTTTTTGCATTCAAAATATCTGTTAACACTTATATACTTCTTTTTTTTTTTTTTTGAGACAGAGTCTCACCCTGGGTAGAGTCCTGTGGCATCACAGCTCACAGCAACCTCAAAGTCTTGGGCTCAAGCAATTCTCTTGCCTCAGCCTCTCGAGTAGCTGGGACTATAGGCACCCACCACAATGCCTGGCTATTTTTAGAGACAGGGTCTCGCTTTTGCTCAGGCTGGTCTGGAACCCATAAGCTCAGGCAGTCCACCCACCTTGGCCTCCCAGAGTGCTGGGATCACAGGCATAAGCCACCACGCCCTGCCTGAGGTTGTGGTAGGAACTAAAAGAAATAACTCATGCAAAGCACTTACTTAACTGTGCTAAGCACCCATTTTTTGTATGAGTCCAGATGTTGAAACTGCTGTCACACGAAGTTGGAGAACTTTATATGTAGGACCAGTCCCTTCATCACAGGACGAATGTCTAAAATTAATTGTCATCAATAGCATTTGCAGGCTCGGCGCCTATAGCTCAACCGGCTAAGGCGCCAGCCACGTACACCTAAGG